TGTTGTGTTAACGAGTCTCGAACTATAAACTAAGACCTTCATCATAGTCATGGTCCCCTGCACGTCAGATGGAACTCAGACGATTACGTATATTTTTATCCACGATTTTGATGATAGCTTCAGAAGAGTGTGGATTTTCTCCATGACGTCGACAATTTCGCTCTTTCCAGATATGGTAAATCATCGACTGAAAAAGATACCTTATTAGAAAAAGAGTGAGCTTATCAATGGGTTGACTGGTTAGGAGCGGAAGGAGATGACTCCAATCGGTTGTGTAATGCTCATTTAGTAGCCGTAGCGCCAAATTCTTCCATATGGCAATCACATACTCACATTTGAAAAACAAATGTTATAAACCGTTTTACACAATGTGGAATGAATTGTTGGTTTAATTTGCATCCTCCAATAGTCCAATTTCACTGATCCTAGCTTCTCTAGATAAGTCAAATTCTCATGTGATAGATAGATGAAAATGTGGTCTAATAAGTAATAACAATGGGCAAAAATCAACAACAAAAATCATATCATAGCTAGTACAATATGCGTCTAATAATGTTATGTCAAAAAAAAATGAATTATATGTTTATAAAAAAAAATGAATTATATGAATTTATAGAAATTCACTAAAAGCTGAGAATGGTCCATTGTAGAAGGTAACTGACAAAGTAAATTTTGTTTAATATGTTATAAAAATTCCAATAATTTCCACTTTGATATATATGGGGAAATAAATGACGTCCGCCTTTTGTGGTACAAATGCTCACAGAAATTTTGTATCATTTTTTTTTTTTTAATTTATGAAGATAACAAACACTCAGATATGAACAATATATCGTATATCAATTAATAAATATATGCCATACTCGTTATTTTAAAATATCCTAATATATAAGATAATTCGTGTTTATCTCTTTGATCGTCGGGTTAAGTCCAGGCCCAATACTGGCCCACTTTATTCGGGACCACGGTCTCTGGGTCCAGCCCAAAAGTAGAAGGAAAGTTAAAAAATGAAAAAAAAAAAAAGCGAAAGCGAATTATGTTCAGCTGTGGACCATTTATTTATTGTAATAGATTTTTTTTTAATCGTTAGATTTATGAATTATTACTTGATTTGAGAACAATTACACGGACGATTATTCAACGGCCGATTTTAACATTCACATGCGGGA